TCTCTCTCTCTTTTTTTTCCCTCTCTCATTTCGTTTCTCTCAGTCTTTCTCTCTCACTCTCTTCACTCTCTCTTTCTCTCGCTCATTTCTCATCTCATCCTCTCTTTCTCTCTCACTCCCTCTCTGTCTTTCTCTTCTTCCCTCTTTCTATTTCTCTGTCCCTCTCTTTATGTCTCTCTCTCTCTTTTTCCCATCTCTTATTTCTTCTCTCTCAGTCTTTCTCTCTCTCTCTCTCACTGTCTCTCTCTCTTTCTCTCTCTCTGTCTCTTTCTCTGTGCTGTGTGACTGTGTGTCTGTCTGTCTGTCTGTCTGTCTGTCTGTCTGTCTGTCTGTCTGTCTGTCTGTCTGTCTGTCTGTCTGTCTGTCTCTCTCTCTCTCTCTCTCTCTCTCTCTCTCTCTCTCTCTCTCATTTCCCCACTCATTCTCTCTTTGTTTCTTTTTCTTTCTCTCTCCCCCCCTCTCTCTCTTTCTTTTCTTCCCTCTTTGTCTCTCTGTCTCTCTGTCTCTTTCTCTTCTTCCCTCTGTCTCTCTCTCTGCCTCTCTCTCTGCCTCTCTCTCTTTGTCTCTCTCTCTCTATCTCTCTCTGTCTCTATGTCTCTCTTTCTCTCTCTCACCCTCTCTCTCTCTTTCTTTTCTTCCCTCTTTGTCTCTCTGTCTCTCACTCTCTCTTTCTCTTCTTCCCTCTGTCTCTCTGTCTCTCTGTCTCTCTGTCTCTCTGTCTCTCTGGTTGATTGCACACCACCCCTCGTCTGTGCTCAGAAATAGAAAAAACATAAACATTTGGAAGCGGAAGCCGCGTTGTCTCTGATTCGAAAGCGAAACTGCATACAGTTGCGAACGTGTTGTCTGTGCCTTGTTGATCTGAATTCGGAACCTAAGGTAATGATCAGATGGCTGTGGTGGTTTATTGTAGCTGAAAGCTTTGCAGTGTAGACTAGTATAGATCTATATCTAGACTCTAGATGATGTATCGTGTAGAACCAAACAAGACCCACAGAGTCTCCCGAGGGAGAGAGACCAGATCTAGACCTCCTTAGATCTATATATCTAGATATAAATTATTATAAATATAAATATAGATCTAGAATCTAGAATGTAGACCTAGGCCTAGGCTTGCCTCTCCTTCTTAGTAGTCCCTCACTTATTATAACTAACTAATGTCCACTGGAACTGCATGCAATGTACTGGCCTTTGTAGAGCTAAATCTAAGTTTGTTTGAAGTTTGATGGGAATAGCACACAGTGAGCCTAACCCTAATTACTAATACTAATACTAATTTAGTAAAACAAATTTAAGCTTCCTCTATTACCGAGTATTGGCATTCACTAATTAATGACTAGATTCTAAATCTAATGGCAATGTTAGATCTATCTCAGCTGGGCACTTTGTAGAGCTAAATCTAGGGTTGTTTAGAAAAGCGTTTGATTGTATATCACACGGTGAGCCGAACGCTTAGTCAACCAAGTAAGCTTCCTATTACTATTATTATCATTACCGACTTAGAATGACATTCACTAACAAATGACTATAATGGCAATGCTCAATGCTAAATCTAGGGTTGTTTAGAAAAGCGTTTGATTGGAAATGTCACACAGTGAGCCGAACGGTTTTAACTAATTAAAAGTTGGGGGCTCGGGTGACTAATCAACTAAGTGAGTAGGCCTAGATCTCGAACCGTCATTTCAGTTTGGGAAATTTTTCGCAGCTCGTCCGACACAAAAGCATAAGCCTAGATTTTTTGTCGAATAACTTTCGATCCCGTTTACTTTTAACCTAGATTCTCTAAACGGCACTCTTCGAGGGAAGTGGTCCCGGCTTAACACCATAGAAATAACACTAAGACTTGTAGTCAGAAAAAAAAACAGAAGTCGAGTAAAAAAGCTGTCTTCGGTAATTTTTTTCCCTTACTTCAAGTTTAGAATATTTCCCACATTAATTTTTTAATCGGCTTCCTTTTTTGTTTCCGATTGCAAGTGTTATTTCTACGGAATTAGGCCGGGACTACTTCTCCCGAAGAGTGCCCTCTAAACGAGTGACAACCCCGTTTTGTTTTTTCGAGCAAAACTTTTTTCAACGTTATAGATTGGTGTGGAAGGGCACTTTTCTTAGAGAGGCCAGAATATTGCTCGATATGAGTCGGGCGGAACTATTTTCTTACGGATATTGATAAGTAAATGGGACAAACTGATACAAGACCGGGAACGGTAGCTCGATAACATTAACAATCAGTGCCGTCTGTCTCAAGTCATCCGTAAGAAAATCGTGTCTTTTCATCGGACAGGCTACAGCACGGGCAAAAATAGTTTTGGTGTCGACGGACATCCCCGCTCCGTCCCTCATGTTTAAACCGACTGCGTCAGTGTCGTTCTGTAGGTATTAATTTTAAATAACGTTTCCAAGCCCTCTGACCTGGTAACCGTAACAGTTTTGGTCAGGTCCATTTTTCCACTTCTCTTTCCCCCGATCTCGGAATCTTCGCGGAGAGGAGCAGCGCCAGCCGTTTGCCAGCGACGAGGAGACGGTGAATTCTCACGCATCCTCAAACCCGCACACACGCACGCACCAACACACACACACACACACACACACACACACACACACACACACACACACTCGCGCGCGCTTAGCAGTCCGACCCGAAATAGGTATATTTCATTAAAACATTTCCAGTCGAAAGTCGGGCTTGAGTTGTTTTCTTATTCGTACAATCAGATAATATAAGTGAGACAAATTATCGATAAAAGACCAATGCGACAGCCATATACATATATTGTACGCACACAAACACACGCACATGCATGCATGCGCGCACGCACGCACGCACGCATGCACACACGCTTGCACGCATGTACGCACACACTCAGGAAAAAGAGAGAGGGGAGAGAGAGAGGGAGAGAGAGAGAAAGAGAGGGAGAGAGAGTCAGCAGCACTTCCCGGTGTGTCCCGTAGGTCTGCGCTCATAGAAAAAGCTCACTTTGGGCGTATATTTTTCCAGTCTAGCGGAAAATACAAATCATCGCCAAACCTTTCGTGAAAGAGAAAAAAATATTTTGAAAATAAGGGGCAAAGATGTTGTCACCCCATAACCCCTAATCCCCCCCTCTCTCTGCTCCAACCCACCCTCTTTATCTCTCTCTCTCTCTCTCTCTCTCTCTCTCTCTCTCTCTCTCTCTCTCTCTCTCTCTCTCTCTCTTCCCCTTTCTTTCCGCTCTCTCTCTTCTCTTCTCTTCTCTTCTCTTTCTCTTCTCTTCTCTCTCTCTTCTCTTCTCACTCTCTCTCTCTTTCTCTTCTCTTTTCCTTCTCTCTCTCTCTCTCTCTCTCTCTCTCTCTCTCTCTCTCTCTCTCTCTCTCTCTCTCTCACTCTCTCTCTAGGTCATTAGAACCAGAAAACCTTCCTCTATAACACACTGATAATCGGCATGAATCGGAAAGAAAGAAATTTGTTGAAAATACCGTTTAATGGTATATTATCGAAATTATCAAATATCGATACCCGATTATTTAAGAATCGCACGTCATATCTCACACTGCAAACATTTTAAACCACTGTACGGGGCTCTGTTCCTTAAAACTTATGTTTGTTATCCTAAATATGGGAATTTGAGTTCTAAGCCTAAAGATTTTTAACGGGGAGCTAAAAAATTTGAGTAGTAATGTACATTGAGTAATCGATACTAGTAGCTGTTTACAAATGAGAGATGAGAGAAAGTGGAAGCAGTAAGAAGAAGAAGAAGGAGAAGGAGAAGGAGAAGGAGAAAGAGAAGAAGAAGACGAAGAAGAAGAAGAAGAAGAAGAAGACGAAGAAGAAGAAGAAGAAGAAGAAGACGAAGAAGAAGAAGAAGAAGAAAAGCCAGCCTTAACCATTATTACACTACAGACCGAAGTACAGACGAACAAAAGCACAGACGAACAAAAGCACAGAAAAAAGACGAGGTGTGCAAATCTGCTCTTCCCGGTGTGTCCCGGAGGTCTGCGCTCTTCGATAAAGACGCACTGTATGCGTATTTTATTTCAGTGGACAAACCCTTCGTGAAAGAGAAAGACAATCGTTTGAAAGTTGTTATCTCCCCATACACCTACCCCCCCTCTCTCTCTCTCTCTCTCTCTCTCTCTCTCTCTCTCTCTCTCTCTCTCTATTTCTCTCTATCTATTGCTCTCTCTCTATATTTCTCTCTCTATCTTTCTCTCTCTTTCTATCTCTGTCTCTCTCTCAATATCTTTCTCTCTAGCTCTCTCTCTCTCTCTCTCTTTCTCTCCCCCTCTCTCTTTCTATCTCTCTCTTTCTCTCTCTCTCTCTCTCTCTCTCTCTCTCTCTCTCTCTCTCTCTCTTTCTCTGTATTTTATAATTTAACTCGCTTGGTCTTTTACGTTCAGTCACGGCTTCCATCGCCTTTCTTCGGTAGATTGCACACCACCCCTCGTTTGTGCTCAGAAATTAGGAAAAACATAAACATTTGCCAAGCGGAAGCCGCGTTGTCTCTCATTCGAAAGCGAAACTGCATACAGTGCGAACGTGTTGTCTGTGCCTTGTTGATCTGAATTCAGAACCTAAGGTAATGATCAGATGGCTGTGGTGGTTTATTGTAGCTGAAAGCTGTGCAGTGTAGGCTAGTATAGATCTAGATTTAGATTTAGATCTAGACTCTAGATGTTGTATCGTGTAGAACCAAACAAGACTCACACAGAGTCTCACGAGGGAGAGAGACCAGATCTAGACCTAGAATCCACACCTAGGCCTAGGCTTGCCCCTCCTTCTTACTTCTTCTTAGTCCCTAACTTATTATAACTAACTAATCATAATGTCCACTGGAACTGCATAGGCTAGGCTAGGCTAGTATAGATCTAGATCTAGATCTAGATCTAGATCTAGATCTAGATCTAGATTCACAGCTAGTCAGCTACTTAGTACTTAACAAGACTCACAGCTAGTCAGTCCCTAACTTAGTATTAATAGATGTAGTCTGTAGTGATTCTGGTAGGACTGGTCTTTGTAGAGTTTTGTGTATAATGGGAATAGCACACGGTCTGCATGCAGTGTACAGGGGTAGGACTAAATCTAGAGCTAAATCTAGGGTTTTGTGTATAATGATTCTAATACTAATTTATAATAGGCCACCTCTATTCTCACCCGGAGTGAGAATAGTGCAGGCGAGTCTTGTGGCTATTCTCACCCGGTGCGCGTTCACCCTAAACCACAGAATTCTACACTGTGATAACAGAAAAATTGTAGAATTCTGTGCCGTGAACAATTGTAGCCTACTAAAAGCGTACAATTTTGTCTGTGGGCAGTGGAGAGAGAGAGAGAGAGAGGAGTAGCGCGAGAATTTCCGGGAAAGTGGCGACCCGCGTAGTTCGGCTCGATTCGAAAAGTTAAATAGCCATAGCATCTTTGTAGACAACCAAATTTATTTACTTTTGTGTTTTAACATCATTTTTTAACTTTGTTTTGGTCAATTTGATCGTCCACACCGATAGACAGTATTCAGAAAGAGACGGAGAGAAGAGGGGAGGAGTTGATCTTGCGAGAACTTCCGGGCGGGTGAGAATCTAATAGCCACTTTCTATTTAATAAAACAAACGAAGTGGCTAGCCGTACTTAAGTACGGCTAGACTGCCAGTCTATCCGTACTTAGATCTAGGTTTGGCCCATTAGATCTAGATCTAGATCTAGATATAGTAATTATTCAGGTTCAAATAGTAATTATTCAGGTTCAAATACATGCAAGTCAGTAAGGCTTTTGGTTTGTCTGAAATACAAATACTTTAGGCATTGCAAACTAAAAATTTCATTTACAATTCAGCCATCAATATTAAGTACGGCTAGCCTGACAGTCTAGCCGTCCTTAAGTACGGCTAGCCTGGATGTCTACCCGTACTTAAGTACGGCTAGACTGCCAGTCTAGCCGTACTTATCTTAGGCCCTATTAACATTAGAAAACAGGAGGTTTAAAATACATGCACTGTCATTAAGGCACCTGGTTTCGTCTCAAATACAAATACTTTAGGTACTGCACACTAAAAATGTATATTTACAATTCAGTAGGCCTATTTTTTGTAAATAGGTCAGTCTAGCCATCATATTAAGAATAAGTACGGCTAGCCTCTTCCTAAAACAAAAGCTTCACTAAGTAATGACTAGATCTAGATCTAGATTCTAGATCAAGATCTAATAGCAATGCTAGATCTATCTGAGCTGGGCACTTTGTAGAGCTAAATCTAGGGCTGTTTAGAAAAGTGTTTGATTGGAAATATCACTCGGTGAGCCAAAGGCTTAGTCAACCGAGTGAGAATCCTATTATTATATTATTACCGACTAATGGCATTCACTAACAAATGAGTTATCAAACTTCAAACAAACTTAGATTTAGCTCTACAAAGGCCAGTAATGGCAATGCTTAATGCTAGGACTTGGCTTTGTACAGCTAGATCTAGGGTTGTTTAGTGGTTGATTGGAAATGTCGCACGGTGAGCCGAACGGTTTTAACTAATTAAAAGATGGGGGTTCGGATGGCTAAGTAAGTGAGTGGGTCCAGATCTAGTGAGTTTAGACTCAACAGTAATGTTAAGCAAATGTCGGTGTTTGACACCGTTAACCAAACTGCCCCTCTGGGATCAATAAAATTGTAATTTATAAATGTATCTCTTTAATGGTTCACTTTGAAGTCAGTATTCCATGAGTAAGAAACGCGAGTGATTCTTGAATTAAAAAGTGGAGACCTCGAACCGTCATTTCAGTTTGGGAAATTTTCTGCGCTCGTCCGACGCAAAAACATAGGCCTAGATTTTTTGGCGAATAACTTTCGATCCCGTTTACTTTTAGCCTCGTTTCTCTAAACGGCATTCTTCGAGAGGAGTGGTCCCGGCTTAACTCCAAAGAAATAACACTAAGAGTTTGTAGTCGGAAACAAAAACGGAAGTAGGGTAAAAAAGCTGTCTTCGGTATTTTTTTGTCGTTCGAATTTAGAATATTTTCATCCTGATTTTTTTCTTCATCGGGTGGCATTGTGACCCTGGCAACTCAAGCCAGCTTTTTTAATCGGCTTCCGTTTGTGTTTCCGATTGCGAGTGTTATTTCTATGGAATAAGGCCGGGACCCCTAATTCTCCCAAAGAGTGCCCTCTAAACGCGTGACAACCCCGTTTTGTCTTTTCGAGCAATACTCATTTCAACATTACAGATTGGTGTGGAAGGGCACTTTTCCTGAGAGGCAAAAATAAAATATTGCTCGATATGAGTCAGGCGGAACTATTTTCTTACGTATATTGATGTAAATGGAACAAGACCGGGAACGGTAGCTCGATAACAATCGATGTCATCTGTCCCAAGTCATCCGTTAAAAAAAGCGTGTCTTTTCGTTGGACGGGCTACAGCACGGGCGAAAATAGTTTTGGTGCGGACGGACATCCCCGCACGGAACCTCAATTTTTAAACTGACTGCGTCACTGTCGTTCTGTAGGTATTAATTTTAAATAACGTTTCCAAGCCCTCTGACCTCGTAACCGCAACAATTTTGGTCAGGTCCGTTTTCCCCCTTCTCTTTCCCCAGATCTCGGAATCTTCGCGGAGGCAGTATCATGTCTGGAGAGGAACAGCCCCAGCCGTTTGCCAGCGACGAGGAGATGGTGAGTTGTCACGCATCCACAAACCCACACACACAGACACACACACACAAACACACACACACACACACACACA